CGGCAGACACCAAGTTGATGATTAGCTATGGTTTGCCGGACCAAGTGAACTTCGAAACAGTGGAAGATTGGCGAAAGAGCATGTCAGTAGATACTGTGAAGATTGACTCCACGGACTGGCGCTCCTCCGTCTTTCAGCGGCCTCTCGATTGGTCATTTATGGACGGATTCAACGGACCGGCCCCGTCGTAATATACCCCATGGATACAGGTGCACATGGAGAGCGCAGTGGGAAGTATTGTGTCGAGCGAGGTTTGTTTAATTTGCTTAATAGAAAACGATAGGATCAAGTGTGTGGTAAATCACCTAAGAGCTGCAATCAACACGCTTTCATTGAGACAGTGTTTTCAAGTACTAGGCTGGCGGAGCTACAATCAGCCTCTTGCTACCTAATCCATTCTTTCATTCATCGTACATCAAGCTACCGGAGCCCTTACAATCTTGACGATAATATCTTGATGTTTTGCGCCTGAGGCCTTGTAAGCAGGAGTGCTGTATGCCGGGTCCTTGTCATCAACTGTGACCCCCATCATACCGCCTCCAGACCCGCACGCTCCCAGCAAAGACTCTGCCATCTGAGCGGATGTCGCCTGTGCACCACCGTCGATAGTGCGAGCAAGGTCATAATAGGTGACCGAGGAGTTGGTGCGTGGTTTAGTGTGTTTGGCGAGCACAAGCACGGTCCCGGCGTCGGCTATTGGTAATCCCCACTCCGAGCAGTCAAACTCGGGCGGCATTGTCCATAGTGGGTTGTTGCTGTTTTCCGCCAGAAATCGCAAGTACGACGCGGCGTATGCGATGTCGGCCTCGTCGATGTTTTGCGCCTCACCACCGCCAATCCCGTAGCAGATACGGCCGTTGGTTTCGCCGCAAGTTCTCTTTTGAATTGTGGCTTTTGTTCCCCCTCTCAAGTTCGGTACGGTATCTCGAGAGCTTCTAGATTTGTGGCTGGACCCTAGAGCGGGAAAGATAGAAAGAAGGAGGAGTCCGAGTATCCCGTAGCGCGCACCCCAGGGGGGTTAAAAGGGCTGTAATACGCTATCAGATTAATAAAGTGCTGTTAGAGGCCTATTATCTAAAGTCTTGCTGTTAAGGGCCTATCGTTAGTAATACTGTAACATAAGACAATAGCTGTTAAGCGTACGTTAGATAACTTAGGAGTTACCTTGCCTACCCCTATTAGACGCTTAATAGGTATTCTTAACGCAAAGAAGTTACCCCTAAGTGCTTTTACTCTGTTTCCTAGTAAGGCTTGCTAAGACTTGCCTGTGCGGGCGGTATTAGAGGAGTAAATGTTCTACTTTTCTAGCTGTAAACTATCCTATTGCGTGCAGGAGAGCAGTATATATTAGATGCTCTCTTCTGCAGTGCCTTCTAACGTCTTTGTTTCTGTTGTTGTTAGTGCTAGTGCTGTTGCTGCCTCCCTACGTTAGGATAGAAGGCACCTGCTACCTATTCCTTAATAGGCCTAAATTTTAACATTAATTAGCCCCTAACAGCTTTTGCCTACGTTACAACATTAGGGAGCTATTAGGAGGTAAGAGCTATCCTAGAAATATCGCATTTTATTACCCTATTGTAGCCCTATTAACCCTCTGCGGGTGCGCGTGACGGTCTGCATGACTGCGCTGGTGGTTCAAGAGAGTGAGTTTGTAGTGATGTTATGAATGTCACGATATTCGAGGAATTGCTGAACTGGCTTGATCAGAAACAAGTTCCTCGTAGCGGATGTTTCAACCCACGAGATGAGTGCACAAATGACATTAGCCTCAAATACATGCACATAGCCTTAATGTATGCAAATAGCCTCTATATTAGTGATCTCGTGTCTGCACGTCGATAACAAGCGTGATCGTAATCACGGTCAATTACCTAGGTACCACGTCGCTTGCCGGATGCAACCCTAACTGTGTCACCAACCGCTACCACAACCATTCATCAGCACAGAGACCTCCCTGAGGTTGAACCCGTCATCTTTTATCCATTATCATTTGATCAGTACAATTAATAGCGATGCATCGTGGCTCGGTAGCAGTGCGGGACAATCCTACGACAACATGATTATATTGCGATACGCAGGGGCAACACTGCCGTGCGTTACACGACGTAGACTTCAGGCTATGTTGGATGCAGCATTCTGTCGATCGCTCAACGGTTTTAGTACCGAGCTTCACAGAGGCTTACCCGAATCCACAGTGCGCATGCCACTGATGTCCCGACGACCGCCCGATATTGAGGCAGACGAGTTTGTAGGGGAGTGCACCTACTGGTATGTTTCTACCAGTCCATGTAGCTCAGCGCATCGTTCAACAAGCACTAACTTCTCACCTCATTCAGTCCAAAGATTCACGTCGCTCTGTCCTCAAAAATGTCTTCTTTCAGAAGGCAGACAGTGTTCACCATTCTTTTCACGTTGGCATTCTTCCCAACCGAATCGATCGCTGATGATTGCCGACCCGTTACGTGGTCCAACGATGCAAAGATTGCTCGTTTTGCAGAGATGACAGGGACTGCTACGCTGTCGACGCCAATCACGAGTTCTGTGAGGAACACTGGCGGCAGAATCAGGATTCTGGAAGTGAAGCCTGGCGAACTCAACTGTCGAGCTTGGGCCAGGACCCACGAGCATGTCAACTATTATACTTGCACAGAAATCTGCGACAAGTATCAAATCACGACCGACTATTTCTTCTGGTTGAACCCAACGCTGAAGACGGATTGCTCGGATATCCAGCCAAGATCGAGGTACTGTTACGATGGCTGTAAGTCTTCAATTACATACTCGTTCGAGCAAGATCAAGGTGCCAAGAATTGACACGAAAGATGCTAGATATCGAGCCTGTGAGGGCCTTGGATGGTCTTTGCGGCCCAAAGCACAACAATGCAACCTGTCTTGGGACCGAATTTCCGTGCTGCAATGCCAATACATTCACTTGCGGCGCATCTGAGTAAGAATCTTAGCAGAAACAGAAGTAGGAAAATCGAACTCAGCCTGACAATCATCTAGGGAGGATTGCGCTGATGGCACGTGTTACGAGGGCGGCTGCTTGGGGGACAAAACATACAGCACCGACGGTACCTGCGGTTTTGCACACAGGGATCGGCTTTGCGCAGGAAAATGGGGAAATTGTTGCAACCTTGACGGCAAGTGCGGCGATGGTGCATCATTTTGCAATTTTGATTCTTGTCAGTCAGGGAACTGTACGCGTGCATCCCCCACTGCGACTATCCCGTTACCATGGCAGACTGGGACTACACCGGATGGTAGCTGTGGAGGCCCAAACAAATACACTTGCAACGTGGTTTATGGGGGCTGCTGCAACAAGAATGGTCAATGTGGGATACTTCCGGTTGACTGCGGTGCCGGCTGGTGAGTCTCCCTTCCGAACTCCATGAGACCCGCCCAGAATTCGTGTTAGCTGAAACTGACATCAACAAACACGTAGTCAACCTCAATTTGGGCAATGCGGCTCTACACCGTCAACGAGTGTAGTCAACTTGCGTTCAACCTCGTCCTGAGGCAGAGCATCTTCTACTTCGACTTGTCACTGGAGAGCTTTGACCTACTTGGGGTAGCATGGCGAATTTCATTAAGCGTTGTGTTCGCTTCAAGGTGGACCAAACAGCATGAATTATGTTTTCATCGTATTCTGCAACATTTGGCGCTCTGCTTGCTTTAGAACGTTTTGGTTCCACAGTAACGTGGTGAAGCCGCGCAGCCACGTCCTACGCATGGCTCTATCCTGACTCTTGCACGCTCAATATGCATTCGCCCTTGTCTATTGGCATTCAAATCTCTGCTGCATCTGTCTAAGAAACATGGGGGTACAAGCTTTGATCCAAATGACGTGTAACATATAGTTCATTTGCGCAACAATTTGGTGGCTGCGTGTGCTCGTCTGGATGATGTACAAGAAATTATCAATGCTTGGGCTTCGGACACTCTACTTACAATCTTCTCATAAGCAATGAGTAGGGATACCTTGGGCATCGATTGAAAGGTATATTGCCAATCTACCTGGCAGATGTCTATGAGTCTGGTACACTGTTGAGCAAGGACCTTGGCTAAACTCTAGTCTTACAAAGTCGAAAATCAAGGTGGTGTAGGGCCATACGACGGCTTCCACGGGTCAAATGTACTTCATTCGCTCCCAGTGTAGTCTCCTGCGTGATAGCTTCTCTGGTCGCTACACAGTATTGTCCTTATTACCTAAGGTGGATACACCGCTCAGGAAACAACATTGCACCCTGAGAAGAGACCCCTCTGCTCCTCATTGTCATCCCAAGAATGGCTTCATTGTATTTCTTGACGTGTCTTCTGGCCTTTCAAGGTGTGCTACTGGGACGTCTGGCCCTCGCTCAGCTCGACCAGGATTACAATGTCAGACGGGTGATCGATCCGATTACCAACAACTTCGTGGATGGATACTTCTAGTGAGTTTGGGATGACATTAGAGAGCTTGAAACTCGGCGACTAACGAGAGACTATGCAGCCGTCCCAATCCGAATGCGGCGGAGCAGCGCGTCATCGATGTCTCGCCAAAACAAGTGGTACTAGTATATAACTGCAACTATTTGAGAGACATCTGCGAGAATGCCATGAACTGGTATAGCATTTCACCACGAGCACAAACTGGTAGTACCAGTACACGTCGAACTCGTTTGCCAAACAGCGTTTTCGGCTATGACTTCAACACTGGCAAGAGAGCCAGATTCCGGTCATACCAGCGTCGATCACAATCCTGCCCTGGATCTTGGAAAAACATCCATCCTTGCCCCGAGACGAGCCAGCGAGACGTAATGCGAAACGACGGTGTGTGGTGGCACAAAGATTTGGAGCCTGGCACTTCTATCAATCAGATTAGGAACCATCGCGTGGGCGCGATCACAACACTTTCCAAAATGCGGTACACGTGCGATGAATTTCCACCAGCTACATGGGTAGAGGGCGGAGGGGATCGCAGCGATCCTAACGTAGCATCACAGACACGCTGTGCTGCCATGAGTTGTGCACGAGGATGTAAAGCCGAACAGAATTGGCAGGCCGATGCGCATGGTAAGCTACAGCGTCAGCTCAAATCTATCATCGAAAAGCAGAGACGGGATTCTGGTTTCCGTCTACATCCCACGTATCAGAGCAAGGATAGCGTAGCATTCTTCCACTTCAGAGCCATCAATTCGGCGGACGGCGTCGCAGCAAGGGTCTGGACGTTTGACGACCCAGCCGGTAATGTGCGTTCTGACGAGAGAGTCGTCAACCAGCAAAGACGAGATGCACACGAGACACACTATGCAAACATTTCAAGCAATTTGTTTGGCTCGAGACAAGGACTGGACATGGATCGTATCCAAGAGCTGATTGACGCCGGTCTTGGTAGCCAGTACATCGTCCCAGCAAATGACTCCGACGGTTACGACTCGTGGTCCGATGCGGATCTGACCGGCACGACGATCCCAATGTCTCACATGAACTCCACTCGCTGGATGGATGAGGAGGACGATGACGATAACGACATCTTCGACGAGCATTACGATATCGATGAAGAGAGTGAGATGGAACGACTTGAATCTCGTGAAGAGTCTACAAATGTTCAAACTGAGCCCCGCAACGAACAGGTGTCTCCATCGTACCCCATAGTCGCACGACAATCTGACACTAGAACCATCTCCGGATCTGATGTCACTCCTCTCTTGACCAACGCCTCACTCTCCGACCTGGAAAAAGCGCGAATCATTGTTGAGAAGGCTATCGCGGAGTCTTCCAAGCTCAACCAAGCCCGATTGTTGAACCCTATGCGAAACAACTATGGGCTGGAGCCTGGCACTTTCACCGGGCAGTCAAAGACCAAGCGTCATCTACGTGTAAGAGAAGACGGCACACCGGTTCCACCCCTCCTGAACATTACCGACAGCATCGCGAATGCTGCAGCTCTAGTCGCTGAAGCTGATGCAGTTGGCATACCCGGAAATTTGACAAAGCGCGCTGTGCCTGCCAAGGGCACCTACTGGATGGGCAGTATCGCCAGGAAGGGTACGGTACCATGGGGCGATAACGCGACATACGCAGTATTCCGGAACGTGCTCGACTATGGTGCAGTTGGTAACGGTGTTACAGACGACACCAAAGCGTTCAAAGCCGCCATGCTAGACGGTAAACGTTGCGGCAAGGGCTGCAACGGCTCTACACTCAAGAATGCCATCGTGTATATACCGCCAGGCACTTACCTGATCTCGACTACCATTCCGATGCCATTTGGGACGCAAGTAATTGGAGATGCAAACGATAGACCGACCTTTCTGGCATCCAAGTCGTTCATCGGTATGGGAGTGTTGTCGACAGACGAGTACACTGGTGGAGGGACTGGCGCGGACGGTCTAGATGAGGAGTACTACATCAACACGGCAAACTTCTACCGGCAAATTCGCAATGTGATTATCGACGTTAGACAGACCCGTGCTTCACAGAAGGTCTCCTGTTTGCATTACCAGGTTGCTCAGGCCACGAGCACCCAGAATGTACTCCTGATCGCCGGTCCGACACAGAATGGCATGTACGCTGAGAATGGCAGCGGTGGGCAGATATCAGATATAACCTTCCAAGGTGGAGCTATTGGTCTATATGGTGGCAGCCAGCAGTTCACAGCGCAGCGCTTGAAGTTCGAGGGCTGCACGATCGGTGTCCATCTCATCTGGGATTGGGGTTGGGTCTGGAAGTCCATTACCATGAACAACGTCGGTACAGGTTTCAAACTTGTACCCGACAGTACTTCTGGTGCAGCGGCGGGCAACATTGTCTCAGCGTCTTTCCTCGACTCATCTTTCAACAATGTTAAGACAGTGGTACAAATTTCACCTCCCACTTCGACGGTCGGGTCAGGCAGTACCGGTCTCATCCTCGAAAATATCAAGCTTTCAGGCGTGGGTACTACCGTCGCCGATACAGGAGGAAAGACAATATTGGCCGGATCCTCATCCAAGATCGACGAATGGGCCATGGGCCCAGTCTACAAAGGCTCGGCTGATAAGAAAGACCGCAAGTTCACCACGGGAGAGAAGGTCGGAAGTTTCCGTCGTCATTCAACACTTGTCGATAACGATGGGGCGTACTTTGAGCGTCCCAAGCCTCAGTACGAAGACCGTTCAGTGGGCGACTTCGTGCACATCAAGGACCTTGGAGCCAAAGGCGACGGTATCACTGACGACACGGCGGCGTTCCAAGCTGCACTGTATGCGAGTCTGGGAAGAATACTTTTCGTAGATGCTGGCTCTTACATACTCACTTCGACAGTGACGGTTCCCAGTGGCTCCAAGATTGTTGGCGAAACATGGTCTCAGTTGGTTGCTTCCGGGTCTTATTTCGAAGATGCGCTCCATCCCAAGGTGCTGCTCAAGGTCGGTACCAACGGCCAAGTAGGAGATGTAGAGATGCAGGACCTGTTCTTCACCACAGTCGGGGCAACGGCTGGAGCCATCCTGGTCGAGTGGAATCTGAAAGCATCGAGCGCTGGATCGGCTGCGCTGTGGGATTGCCACGCACGTGTTGGAGGCGCCACCGGGACCAAGTTGACGCCAAAGGAATGCCCACCAGTCACCAGTGGTGTTGATCAAGGCTGCAGTGCCGCGAGCTTGATGTTTCACCTGACGTCGTCTGGCTCCGCGTATCTCGAAAACGCGTGGTTCTGGGTCGCAGATCACATGATTGAGTAAGTACGACCTGTTTTCCCTCGGCCAGTGCCTTTGGCTAACCCGCCTGCAGTGATCCCGATCTCGAAAGCGGTGCCAATAACATGATACAAAATTCGGTCTATGTTGCGCGTGGCTTCTTGGCCGAAAGCACCGAGCCGACATGGTAGGCTCAGCTCAATCTCCGCTCTCGCGGTCGTCGCAGTCAGGCTAATCAATACTAGGCTTTACGGTGTTGCATCCGAGCATGCTGTATTTTATCAGTTCAACTTTCACCGAGCCCAAAACATCTTCGCGGGTTTACTCCAGACAGAGTCACCATACTATCAACCCACGCCATCTCCACCCGCTCCCTTCAAGTCCGCTCTTGGCGTCTTTTCAGGTGACCCAACATACGAATGTGCGGCTGGCGATGAGTTCAGTGGGTGTGACGAGTCGTGGGCGATCATAATGCGAGAATCGCAGAATGTCTTCATCGCAAGCGCGGGCCTATACTCGTGGTTTTCGACGTACGCGCAGACCTGCATCGACCAGCAACTATGCCAGAAAGCCCTGCTTTTGCTTGAAAAGAACTTCTCCAATGTCAGGATTCAGCACCTCGTCACCATCGGCGCCAAGTATATGGCAGTCATGGATGGCAAGGGCATACTAGCCACGGATAATCTCAATGTCGATTCCCACCCCTTCTGGTCGCAGATATCTGTGTTGGATGTCAGCAGCAATGGCTCCATGTACGACGAGTACATCTGGGTAGACCCCAAAATCTGGGACATGGAACAGCCAGCGTTTACTTGCTCACCCCCTTGCAATGTCAAGATCCCCCCGTGGACCCGTGCTACAAGCACACTGAACTATCCATTGATCACGGTCAGCGATGGCGAATGGACGAGCACTATCACGAAACCGCCCATGACGATATCGGAGTGGGTGTTTGAGCCAGTGACACTGACTGGACAAGCTGTCAACCAGAAGCGCCAGGGCTTCGAGGCTTTTTGGCCCAAACCCGCGACCACACCCCACTGGCCTTCGGTGATCTACGCCAGTCCAGATGGTGATTCTACCACAGTAGGGCCTAAGATATCCTTTCCAAAGCCACCTCAATCTATCGGTCCCAATGCGCAGCCTCCACCGACGGGTAGCTGGCCCAAGAGGCAAATTCAGCCTATCATTGGTCAGATCGAGGAGCCGTTGGTCAAGGAGTGTGGCTTCATAGACTGGGTTTGCTTCACCGAACCATGGATCTTCGGCGACAACAACACCAACTCGGATGGGGATAACGGCGATTTCGACGAAAACTGGGAAGACAGCTGGGTCGTATGTCCAATACCGAGCAGTTCCTCGTCTAGTTCGACCTCTTCCAGGACGTCGACGAAAACGACAACAAGTGAAGACCCGCCGGAGCCTACGGCGTCTCCGCGCGAAGGCGTTCCAATGCAGAATGAAGTCGACTGTTACGGTGGCCTGGATCAGAAGACGGAGCATACGCGCATGGACAGCGCCATCCACGACTTTTGCATTGCGATAGGTAGCTCGGGTGACGTCTTCAAGGAAAATTACTTCAAGTCGTTAACTTACACATTCTACCACAGCACGGGAACCGGTGTCCAAATCCTCATATCGCTCAGCGTCGACCCAGGCTGCCAGTTCAAGTATGACTACGACTTGTGCCACAAATACCTGGAGGTTCCTGTCAACAGCTGTCAATGTGGGGGTGTGAACGGGAAGCAGGGTGGGTTTCTGAATAACGACTGCTACGAGTGGAGGATTGATCCGCAAACGACGTTCTAATCGCAAAGCTCCGTTCTCTAGCCAATTGCTCTGTCGCGAGCTTGTAACATGGGCTGTCTATGTTTCCTTTGTAGTATGCAATAGTCGATAGTTAACGAGGTATTGAAGCCGTACGGGTATTCGAATCAATCGCCTGCGCGCAATCGCTAGTCGAGGGGCGCATGTCCTCATACGAAAAGCGACGGTTCGTACCTATGTCGTGCCCAGCGATACGTGCTCGTGCCATCCTTGCCGTCTGTGCTCTGCCATTGGCTCATCGCATCATTCACATGAGCGACTATCTGCGATTTGGCTCTACTCGAACTCTTCATCAAAGTAGGGAGTCGTAACTACTTTCTGAGATTGCCTGCACCAGACAATTCTTCAAAAATAGTGCAGCGCGGGAGTGAGTAGAGATGATCCGTAATATCCCGCGAACCTTGCAAGCGTAGGCCGACCGCACTAGCTGGTAGTACCTGTAGCAAGGCTGTAGACGGTTTCTCAGTTGTGCAAATCGAGATCGGTGTGTGCAGGAACCCCAGCGAATCCATGTGCCATCATCCTCCATGGGTCTGGGTGAAACTGCGGCCTTCTTCAGCGAATAGTGTTTACAATCTCAAGAGAGAGCCGGCTTACTTCGTTTCGGGCATGGTCGCAGCGCCGAGATAGGCATGTTTCCGGTGAGCGAGAAAACTTCAGTGAATGATCTTGTGTACAAGGTGATCTCCATTCAGCTATTTACGGCTGTTATATCGGTGACTTTCAAACCCGGAAGTACAAAAGTTTCGCAAACTTCAATACGATAATAGTACACCTGATACAGGCAGCAGCCAAAAAAGAAGCGAGCGACAGTCTGAATCCAACGAGCACTTCGTGTGTGGACTGGGTAACAACTTCAATAAAGGAATGACAAAAGTGCCTCCTCCCAAGGCACATGATACGAACTCAAAAATCGTCCAAGCTGTGGTAAAGAGAAGAAGATGTTGACTATATGGACATTGCTTGGAAAACAAGGGCTCTCAAAACGACACGCAGTCGCGAAGCAACGAAAGTTAGACAGCGCGAAGAGACAAAGGAACTATGTCGAGTGCTTCCTAAACTCGCTGTCATTGGCGCACCTCCCGGTAGGAACACCGCCAACGCCATGCTGCGAAAGACGTGCTTTAAAATTTAATATCAAATGCGCAATTTAATGAATTGTGCGGGACAGCTGCCACGATACTGCCTAGGGGTCCACTGGACTGTTCGCTCGGAGGGTTGGGTCTGGGTCGGGTGTCGTGGCAGGCTTTGCTTTGGGCGTGGGATCCGGATCTGGACTAATCGCGTCCTTCTGCGCCTTGGGAGTTTCGATGACAAAGTCAGTCACATCATCGCCGGGTTCTTCGGGAAAGAGGACTGGCGGTGTGAGCGACGTAGGCGCGACTGCAGGTACGTCAAGGCTACCCTCATATTCCTCTGCCGCACGCTCCTCTGTGATCATTGGAGGCGGAGAAGAGGGTAGGGTTGAATCTGGCTGCCCAGGGTCTTCGACAGAGATGACGCTGCCTCTGCTGTTCGTTCGCATCATCTCAATTCCAAGTTTCGACGTAGACTTTGGTCTTGACCTTGGACTCCGAGTGCGCACTGGAGCATGACCCAGCTCGTCGTCTTCATCGTCCCCAGACTCAGCCGATTCGTGTTTGCGGGTCTCCAGAATGCGACGTTTGGCACCGACTTGCTCTGTCGATCTCTGGCGGCGGATCGTTGCCTCCTCGAGAACGGCTGGCGCGGAGTCCCCGTGGGGCAGGTCAGGTGCACCAACACGATTGGGAACAACTGCTTTCGCATCGGCATTAGCTGCATCGTCGCAAATCCCTAAGCCACTGATAGCTCGTGCGATGTCGCGCTCCCGCCAATCGTCGGCGTTGTGGATTCTAACTGGCATATCCTCGCCTGCACGACTGTCGTTGTCACCGAAGAAGCTAGAACTAATAGAGTCTTCGCGGCTCGAACCTCGGTAACTGGCAGAAGGGACGGGTGGGTATCCTGATGAATTCGAGGTCGTGGGGCTGTCCTCCTGACGCGAAGACTCTTGTCGAAGCCCAGAGGGCATCATCGATGGATACAACTGGTTCGGCGTCCAGCCTGGCGGGGGTGCTTTCCATTGGCACAGTCTGCTCAACGTGTCCGTAAGCTTCGCCACAGTAGGAGGCTTTTCGATAAGTGCATCGAAATAGTGAGGCGCCTGCAGCTCCTTCAGGTATCCAGTAACAGCGACAATCGGAGTATGTGTATTGGCGTTCTTGGTGTCTCGGATCATGCGAGCGACATCTGCACCATTGACCTGAGGAAGGCGGAACTCCATCATGATCACATCAAATTTGACTTCGCCCATCGCATATCGTATAGCTTCTGAGCCATTGGTAACGGTCAAAGTGCGGCAGCGCAACTTCTCGAGCAGCTTCTCCATGACAAGCCGTGACACTGGGTGGTCCTCGCAAATCAATACGTCTAATGGCCGGAAGAAAGGACCGTCGCCAAAGCTGATCTGCGAGAGTCTTCTAGAACTCTGACGTCGTCGCTGGACACGAAGCAGCGCTTTCGCACGAGAGTCTTCCGTGTCCGACGACGATGGAGACACATCAAGCACTTGACTCCGGCGCTTGTAGTGCCCAGGTAAGAGATCGCGCACAACATCATCCTCTTGAGACCCAAGCGTTTGGGACCGAGCACGTGGTGAAGAAGCATTGGTTTGTGCCGATGACTGGCGTTGTCCAGTGACGGGCTTCTCTTGAGAAGCTACGGGAGGTGCAGACGGTGTCTTTGAAAGCCTGTTTGGTGAGACAGCTTCTGGCGATGGTCGCAAGCCTGACACACGGGAAGGATCGAAGAAGCTTCCAGGTTGTAGCGAGGATGGGTTGCTGGTCGAATGCGACAACGTAGACGAGCTACTAGACGTCTTGCGTCGGTCATGTTGTCCCGTGCTGAACTGTACGAGTAGAGGAGATGAGGGCTGTGAACCACGACTTGGCGAAGAATGTGGCCCGCTCATCGAGGGAGAAGAGGGTCGTCCGGTGGCTCTGTTGGAGGATAGCGTACGTTTGAGCGGGCCGGGTAGCATCGGGCTGTTCTCCAGCGATGGCGATGGCGACGTGACACTGGGCGACTGCAGAGGCGGTGCGGGCTTGTTTTGTGGAAGCATAGCTTCTGCACGCAACTTCTGGATGACGTCCTTGTTTGCTTTCTCCAGAACAGGCAAGTTCTTGTAACTGAAATTACCAAAGTCGTCAGTTGCCATTGGTTCACTGAGTCTCCTAGACCGGCCTTCCCGCACATGAGCTGGGATATGGAGAGGGATCAGTCCTCGCTTCATAGTCGAGACAGTCACCTGGGAGCGTACTCTAGACAACGCATCGTGTGGTCGGTCAGGATAATCGGTACTTGGGGTTCCTGCTGGTGTAGTAGCTTGGTCTTCAAACTCAGGACTGAAGTTTGCCATGGCGGCTCCTCTGGTGTCGAAATATTCCGTGTCCTCTGGGTTTTCAGGAGCAGGAATGAATGATGCTTCGTCATCCCGCAAGGTCTCCCAGTTGACATCCGCAAACCACGGATGGCTGCGGATTTCCTCTCCACCACTAGCGTATTTGTCGTCCTTGTTCGCTCCAAGACGGTGTGTAGGATCAGAGCACATCAACCGATTCATCAGATCCTTCGCATCATCTGATATATCGTATAGCTCATCATCATCCTCTGGCCAATCGATTCTACGCGCGAGAATGTTTTGGAACACCTCATCGGGCGTATCAGCGTGGAATGGAGGGTATCCGTACAAAGATTCGAAGAGGATGCAGCCTAGAGACCACCAATCGCTGACTTCATCCTGGCCATTACCAGCGATAGTTTCAGGGGCAAGATAGTCCGGTGTCCCGACGAATTTGCGGTCGCTATCTTCTGGGTCGAACAGAGCCATAGGTGGCGGTGGCATTGCTGACGACGAAGGCGCCAACGCACTATTTTGAGCTACTGCAGAGTGACTCAGAGGATGTGTAGCAGGGTAGAGGTCGGGAGAACCATCGTCGCTGTAGGCCTCCTCTTCTATCGGTGATCGTCCACGAGGCTGACCAAAGGAATCGTCAGCTATACTGAAGCGACGGAACATGGCCTGTAGCGCATCACTGTCTTGGCTATCGCTCCGAGTGCCCGAAGTCCGCCTTGAAGGCTCACGGCTTTGTTGGGAACCGTCCCGATTGAGGCTAAAGTACGACGGTTGACCGATGTCTCCAGCGAGAGCAGGTGTCATGGATGGCGTCTGTGAAGGCGAGTGGTTCAAGTCAAAGGATGCAGATCGTGAAGAGCCTACAGACGTAGCGCGATGGAATGGGCCGGTCTTGAGCAGGTCCGGCGCAGGCTCGACAGACTTGAGTGCACGTTTCTGTCGGCCAATCATACCCATCCGCGATAAACCGAAGTCAGTCAGTTTTAGATGACCCTTTCCATCGATGAGCAGGTTGTCCGGTTTGAGGTCGCGGTGGACAATGCTCCGACTGTGCAAGTGTTCGACACCAAGTACCACCTCAGCGAGATACTTCTTCGCCCAGTCTTCTGGTAAAGCACCCAGGACCTTGATGAGCGAGGCACAATCGCCACCGTTCAAGTATTCCATGACGAGATAGAGATAGTCCTTGCTAGAAAAGGTCCAATACAGCTTGGCAACGAAATCACTCTCGCCTTGCCACATCATGATAGCTCGCTCAGCCTTCACGTTGGTGACCTGATTCTTGGCTACCATGTCGGCCTTCTTCAAGACTTTGATAGCGTAGTATTCTCCAGTGGACTTCTTCTTGGCTAGGTAAACGCTTCCGAACGCGCCTTTGCTGATGGGTTTGATGATCTCGAAATCCTTTATTGACGGAGGAACTGCGCGTGGCTGTGGCTGAGTGGTGGGAATCAAACGAGGGGAGACGGGTCTTGGACCGTCTGAACCAGCAGTAGAAGACTGTCTCCGGTGGTGGTTTAGAGCATGCACCATTGCTGGCGAAGAG